AAAAAAAAAAAAAAAAAAAAAAAAAGCATACCATCCCCAAAACGACCAGTCGGGAAACACGATATCGTACGTCTCATCATCCCCACAGTAGCGGAATAGAGGCGGTGGGGCCCGGTACTTGGGAGCACTAAACAGTTGCTTCTTGACGACGGGCCAGTCAACGCAGTCAAACATGAGGTCCAAATCGGGTACCTTCCCTGGGTACCTCCTCAACAGCTGCAGGATGCCCCAAAGGGTGAAGGTGTCCCGGCTCTGGAAGGACTTCTTGTAGGTCTGCACATAGGCCCGCCCACCGACTATGATCAGCCGGAAGTTGGCTGTGCGGGATGCATTCATAACCATCTCCTCAGTGATGCCAGTTTCCCTCCATGGCCACAGGTCTTCGTGAATCCATCGGAAGTAGACGGGGCAACTGCCTGACAGGGCCCACCCGGCCAGAGGCGGCGGCGGGACTCTGGACGGGTAGTAACGGGCGGGACACACATGGGCCGGGTTGTCGTGAGTGCAGTTCAAGGGGATGTCGAGGAGTTGAGGGGCAGTTATATGTTGGGTTTGGGAGGAGTGGCGGTCTTTGAGTTGGTTAGCGGGTAATATCGGTTTTCGAGGGGCGCTCCTTTCTATGAGCTGCAAAGAGAGACATGATGATGCAACACAAACACAAACCTTAAAACCCTTTCTCAATGATAAAGGTCCATTTTTTGCATATTTTTTGGTTAAGAACTCATTAGGTCTATTGTCAATTTGTCATCTCTCAAAACAAAACCCCAGTGGAGAGGGTCTGTCTAGTCTTTCAAAACCACTTCTTTTCAAGTTACACTCTATGAAAGAAAAAGTTCTCCACTCAATACTTCTTTCATTTAGTGCCTATGCCAATCATGTCTATTTTCACAAACTATTAAAGTGCACGTCGTGGTGAATATTTTTTGCCGATTAGGTTTAGTAACATGAATTCATCTAAATTCCATTGGTCTCTCTTTCAGTGCATATCAAAGTAAAATGTAGACAAATTGGTGCCTAAACCTTGGAACGATACTCTATGGGGTGGGAAAAAAATTTCATCACCAAATAAAAATTGACTTTTGAAAATCTTGGTTACATGTGCTTCTCCCGAGGCGCTAATTTTTTTTTTATTATTACATCATCACATTACATAAAAGTACGTATTCTAAAGTAATTGCACATATGTTCGAGCACAATACACTTATAAATATCTATATCAAAAAGTGACAGCTTAATTAAAACATCCAAAAACATGTTTTGATCAAGCTCCGAGATTTCTTTTCAATGTTATTTATTTTGAAGATAGGCAAACTACATAATCTATTGTTTGCATATTATTGACCATTTTGATTGTTGCAATGATCTTTGAGTTGTTTATCATAATATCTTTCACATAATATTCGGATTTGCAATAGTTATGAGCCTAATAGCTTCTTTAATTTTTTATTGCCCAACGTTTTGCATTATACATAATACTTCGAAAATTCAAGCTAAATATCCTCTCTTGATTCTACAACAATGACAAAACAAAACAAAAATAATGGGGCAATATTGAGAACATTTGTCAAAATATTTGAGAAGAGAATAATTAAAAGTCTATTATATTATGATATGATACTCTTAGTCATATGTGATTTTATATTACAAAGTCATTATTAAAATCTACATTATGTACTATGAAGTTTATAACTTTTAATTCTTTAAAATTCAAAATTGATAGCATAAGATCATTATTAATGAGAACTAATTTATTATAAAGTTCATATATTTAAATGCTACAAGGAAAAAGAAAAATAGTAATTTTAAAAAATTTTCGTTTCTAGATATTGGTATTTATACTTCTCTAAAAACAAATCAGACTTTCTCTTTTTTCCATTGCATTATTATTGTTTTATTTGTTTCTTATTCTATTCACGAATAATATTTTATTAATTGAAAGAATTAGAGCACATTTAAACAGACTAAAATATTTAATATATAAATATTTTATTTCTTATTGTTTATTTAACGCCCATCTTAAAAATCAATGGTTGAATAGAATATAATAATTAAATAATTATTGTTAAAAAGTTCAAATATTTTAATTGTTAATATATAAAATATTACTCAAATGGATATAAACCACCTAATGATAAGTGAAGATTCGTTAACATTATTGGCCATGGAACTAAAATTGAAAAAAAAACAAATAAATAAATAAGAATTTTTGTGGTATCAAAATTCATTCCAATAAGATTAAGGTGCAATTTTTAATTTTAATTCTAAATACAATAGTTTATTTTTTTAGAATAATGAAGTAGTTGAGTTGTTTCACTTCTCTAGTTTGTTAGATTATGTATATTTTTCATCATATGAATGATTGGATGAACGATTTTAATAATATTTCAGCTATCTTTTCTTAACTAATGTTAAATATGTATCTTTGAAATTATTTATTATATACAACTTATCACTAAACTAAGTTGTCATTTTTTATCAAAATTTATCCTTTTGTTAAAGTTGATAACTGACAATTGTGTACGTTGTTAATTAGGAATGAAGATGATGTATTTGTAGAAAGAAAAGAGAGAGAGAGAGAGAGAGAGAGAGAGAGAGAGAGAGAGAATGAAATACCTTTAGCTGAGTTTGGTCATTGTTATCCTAACTAATCAACTTGACTTATTAACTAATTAACCTAACTAATGTAATCGTGCTAACTAATCTGTGGTTTATTAATGAAAATATCATGATATATTTTAGCTAATCATTGAATGAAAAAGTTCAACTATTTTAAGTTTTAATTATTTAAAATATTACTTTCCTTGATATTAACCACATAATGGTTAGGTGAAGATTCGTCAACCTTATTAGCTTTAGGACCAAATTGGAAAAAGCAAACAAGCAAAAAATATATTACGATTTTGTGGGATCAAAATTCAATCCAATAAGACTAAGGTGCAACTTCTATTCTGAATAAATAGTTTTGCTATGAAGTCAACAGTTGACTCTACAATGGATTCAACCTTCTATATACAACAAGTAAATCATATCATATTTTCTGATTACTTTAATAATACTAATAATTTTACTAATATGGTATGATTTACTTGTTGTATATAGAAGGTTGACTCCACTGTGGAGCCAACTGTTGGCTTCATAGCAAAACTGTCTGAATCAAAATACAAGAGTTAAATTTTCTTAATGAAATAAATGAATTGTTCCACTTCTCTAGTTTGTTATATTATGTATAGATTTCGTTAGTGAATGATTTCGGTAAAATTTTATGTATTTTCTATTAGTTAATGTTAAGTATGTATTTTTTAAATTATTTATTATATACAAGTTACCGTGTTGTCATTTTTTACCAAGATTTGTCGTTATGTTAAAATTGTAGATAGATAAATAAATAGTTAAAAATGTTTGAATTCTTTATAAGTATTTATTATGCTGTTTTTGTCGGATCAGTTTATTTAATGAGCTTTTATATATTAGAATTATTAAAATATGATTACAATTTTACCAATAAAATTATATTAAAAATAAGAATATATTATAAAACAAAAATTCTATATCTTTTTAAAGCTTTGTTAATTGGATTGATGTTTGGTTGATTTTTTATGGAAAAAAAAAAAGTTTGAAAGATGTGTAGAAGAAAGCAAATTCGTGAACAATAATGGCGCGAGAATAGTATTGTTGATTTTTAGGAGATGTGAAATGTTATGTTCGTGTACTTATATGTAATTAATTAAATATAAAATATTAACTAAAAATATACGATATGATTGACATTAGTGTATCACTAATTTACCATTAGTAATACTTCAAAGTAAAGATTTTTACGTAAAATAGTTATTAAGTAAAAATATAAGATATTATGAGTATTAATGTAGTATTAATTTGTCATTAAAAATATGTCAGAGTAAGAGGTGTTAAGTAATTCATTTTTTTTACAAAATCAATCGTCATTTTGTAATACTATAGTTCTTTTATAATAGTATAGATAGATATATATATATATATTAGTGAGCTCGTTAACATCATAAAACAAGTCATCTTTTATGGTTTTCACCCCATATTTTTAAGACTTATTATTGAATTCAATTAGTTCTCTTTCCTAAGTAAAGCTTATTTCCTCTTTTAACAATTGCAACTTCAATGCCTCCTCAAAATGCAAGTTTGCTGACTTTCTTTTCTGATACAAAACTTTGGATAAAAAAACTTTTATCTTTTCAAATTTCTTCTCATTTTCTCATTAATTAACAACTTTCAAAGTATATATTATTTAGAAATGTGTATGTTTGGGAAGCAAAATTATCATGCTTAATAGTTTATTTATGTAAAATTTTGCATGCACATAACCATTAGAAACTTTCATTCAATTTTGATGATCTGAGAAAGGACCTTGGAATCTTGGTCATGAATTCATAGATAATCTCAGTTGAACATAATATTTAATAAAACTAGTGTACACCCCGTGCGATGCACGAGAACAATATTAAATTAACAATATTATAAATAAATCTCGAGTTTGAGACACTCAATGGCGGAAGTGGAAATTACTATTGATCCTCTTTAAAAAGAGGAAGAAAAAAAATAATAATTATAAATTAAAGAGGAGAATAAACAATACTTAATAATTATAAATTAAAGATTCGGGGTCAAACAATGTAAAATTATTTTGTATAATAGAATATAAAATTTACATTAGTTTGTATAAGAGAATATAAAATTTGTATGTTTAATATTAAGAACACCTAAAATATTATATTAGTATATGTAATAGTATTCAAATTTTTCGATATTACTTTTGAAAGATGTGAAATCACCTACAACTTTTCTAAATAAATTTAGAAGAAAAACATATCTAAAAACATTTGAATTTACCATTGTGTAAAAAAAAAAATTCTAGACTATTTTGTAAATAAAACATGTCTACATATATTTAAATTTAACATCAATTATGTGTATGTGTATATATATATATATATATATATAGACTAATATGTAAAAAAATGTCTAAACAATTTGTTTCAAGTATCTAAAATATTATAAGTCTAATTTAATAAAATCATACCGAATTTATGGTGTTCCATCTAAAAATATTTGATTACACACAATTTGAAAATTATTAGTTTTAATACCAAAAATAATTACAAATATTTATTTTGATACCAAAAAACATGAAAGAGAATAACAAATTCTACCCATCAATTTGTTACCCTATCTACCCAATAAATACCAATAAATCAGTCGTTGACTACCCTATTTAAAAAAAAAGAAAGACAATTGCTAAGTTTTAGAACACTTTTAATGAAAGACAATTGGCGGGTGATCAATGTTTTCAGGTCGACTGGTCGAACCTGGTCGACCACGGACCAACCAGACGATTAATCGTGATTAATCGTCGACCAGCTAGATTAATCGGGCTGCCTCCTTCCTATATATATCCTAACCCTAACAGGCCAAACAGGCCGAGCCCAGCAGCCCACATACCAGCCCAAAAAGACAAATATATGTTCTGGTCGTCCATATGCCCTGGTCGGACGATTAATCGCGATTAATCGACGATTAATCGGACGACCAGGTTTCTGGTCGAGCTGGTCAGGTCGGACCTCCTAATCGAGCACTTGGGAGCGACCAGGACGATTAATCGCGATTAATCGGACGACCTAAAATCAGGGCGGGTGATTATATATACAGATATTGGCGGGAAAAATTGGCGGGAATCCTTAAAAGTTATTATTTTAATATATAGATAGATTGTAAATTGGAAAATAAAATAAATTTAAAAAAAAAAAGGAAAACTGATTTAGGAAATTTCACAAAAAAAAAGCTCAACATTAATTTCCCAGAAAAATTTCCAACTTGTAAATATCTACGGGCTAAAAAACCAACTTCAGTATTAGTTTTAGAAGTTTGTACTTAAATTTATTATGAAATCTTCATTTAACATAAATCACCAGCTATATATTTCTACATATGTTTGCACATTTAATGATTTAATTAATTATTGAATGACATATCATAGTTTTCCTAAGAAACAGTGACGGTCAAAGTTTAGCTCTGTCACGAAATAATAATAATTTAAATTAAAAAATAAAAAAAAATAAAAAGAAAGGGAAAGAGACTTATTATTACAGTGACCGAGGAGTCGAGGTAGCGCGTGCAGAAGAACGCGCCGACAGTGAGCACCGCGAAGAACAGAGCCGCCAGGGAAGATCTCGGCAGCAGGCGCCGGATCGCCTCCATCCCTTTGAAAAGAGTATCTCAGAAGGTCCAAATCCCACTCTCAGCTTTTATGTTTTGCTAAAATTGGATAAAAAAAATTAATTGATCTTAAAGCTGTGGGAAAGTGAAGAAAAGGTTATATATATATTTTTGAAGAGGTATAGAAATAGTTGAGCTGAGCTGAACCTCTCTCTATTCTGTGTCTTCAGTTTAAGGTGGTCATAACTAAAACTAATAAGATGGACATCAAAAGTAAACAGTAATAATGTTTTCGGTGTATTTTTGTGGGATTTGGTGTGAGAGAGAGAGAGAGAGAAATGGTGGGATTTTGTGGACATTTAGGACATTGTAGCTTTGTAGGGTATGGCCAAACATCCACCAAAGCAAAAGTGGTAATAGATTCAACATTTTGTGTTGAGTGTTAAAGTGGTAATTTTAGTAATATACTCCCTCCTATTCAAAATAAATGTCGTTTTGACTTTTTTGATTCATCCATTTTGCTATGTATCTAGACATAATTTATGTCTAGATACATAGCAAAATGGATGAATCAAAAAAGTCAAAACGACATTTATTTTGAATAGGAGGTAGTATGTTTTACTGTCTTAATTTTTTCGTCATCTTCAAATTGCGTTTTTTTTTTTTATTTTTCACCCCTTATTTTGCTAAAAGATTAAAAAAGGTCACTTTCGCAACAAAAAAAGTCCTTTACGATTTGAAAAAAAAAAAGTTTCAATTTCGTCCCTTATTTATGAAAATAACATTTTCGTAACCTTTTTACAATTCGAATAGGATGAAAAAAATTAAGGTAGTGAACATACATGACTAAAATTACAATTTACTCTTTTATGTTTTCTAATATTTTGTAATTACCTCTTTACCCTTCAAGGTTAAGCTAGATAGGTTGAAAGTGTGTTTTAATTATCACCCTTATGCACTGAGCTTAAGTGACCGGCTCGTGTGCTTCGTAATCTTATTCGGTATAAATTAGTATAAATTAATTATTACTTTGTTAATTATTTATTATTATTTCATATCATCATATATAATTTCACAATAAAAATATAAATTATTTTTATTTTTATTATATAAATATTAATATATTTAAGTAAACTATGTAGTACTACTAATGTAACAGGGTTAATGTAGACATTGCTTTTGATTATGATAATTTCAATCGCCTCTCTTTTTCTCTCGTTAATTCATGTTTTTCATGATTTCAGTCAATAATTTATCTAATAAATGGCTCGAGAGACTACAGCTGGAAACTAGATTTAAAAATTAAAATCAAAGGAAGATCTCAAACAAGAAAAAGAAAAGGGTGAAGTTGAATAATGAAAAAGTCAAGAAAAATTGGGTTATGAACAATGCTCTTGTTTTATTCTTCTTTCTTTCTTTCATTTTCAACTGGATTTGCAAGTTCCGATAGCAAAGAAAAGTAACGAGGAAAAATGTTGCCAATTATTAATTAAAAGGAGAAAAAAAAAGGTTAGCACAAATAATTTTGAAGTTTGGACTATAGTGTAACGGTCTTAAAATGCGCCAGATAGGGTGTGATACGCATTTATACGGTGAAAGCCGAACTAAATTAAAAGCCCCAAAATCAATTATAAAATTGTAGCCTACTAGCTCATATCGCCAAGTTGGGCGTGTAAGAATATGTGGCCCGAAAGTATTGGGCTCACATTTAATTATACTATTGGGCCAGACCTTATTTAATAGTAAAACAAATCTAAGCCATTAATCTGGATATTTGATGGACGTACCAGATCTAAAGACACCCCTATATAAATTAGTCCTCTCTCCT